GGTGCGTAAATTCGACCAAAGGCTAGCAAAGTACCATACGTACGAATCGCGTAACAACAAGCGGTAAGACAGGGAAAGTGAAACGCTCTGTGAGCCTGGCGGCAAATCCGAACAATGAGCTGTTTAGGGTGAACACCACACAATGTTGAAAAAGCTTGTTCATACAGAATTAAACGTACCAGGTGTCTTGGGTATTGGGTCCGAGACATTTGAGAGAGCAGAAAGCGCAGTGTTTGTTGTAGTTGTGGTTGGCTTGATTTCAGAAGCATCTCTCATCACACGACACTTGAGTAGTGAAAGTACCTGAGGCCAGAGATGAGGAGAACAATAAAGTGAACCTTCAATAATGCTTGTTCAGTACTGGCATTGGGTAGGTGAATAGATGAACGAGATAACTGAGGAGACTGACGACTTTACGGTTGAGGACAAGTGATTTTTATCGATGAAAAACACAATCTTGTCGATAGAGAAGTAACCCCAAAAGTGGCATTACTGTGGAGGACTGAAGATATTAGTATTTTTCCCGTTGAATGTCATGTTTGTTCTCAGGATTCAGAAACAGTCCCTGAATGCTATAAGCTAATAAACAGGAAGTTACAGAAACTGCATTATTCTTTGGAGAAAACTTTTACCTATTATGAAGTTCGTGGCCGGTGCCCCCCCCCTTTTGAACGGCAAAGAAATGAACACTGATTTGTTCTTAACCTCATTGTTTTGTACAGAATTTTCCGTGCACTGAATCATCATGTTAACTAAACGCTCCGGATACCCGTTACGTGCAAAGATAGGTTTCATGGTACGGAGTTCGTCTTCTAGCGTGTCCTACTTCAGATCTTTCACGCCCTATCCGCTGGGTAACGAACCAGGTTCCTATTTACCCTCGGTGGCACAAAGAATAGGAAATGAATGTATTGGTCTTTCCAAGTTGCCTTTCTGTGCACGGAACGCTCCACCGAACCGTCTGATCGACGGGTGATGCAGACATCTAGAAACTGCAATTTGTTGTTACACTCTATTTCTAAAGTAAATGTTATCTTGAGATGCGCACTGTTGAGCCTCTTTAATAGTTCCGTTGTGTTCGATTTTGTATTAATCACACAATAAATGTCATCTACGTACCGTGTGTATAGTACACAGTCTTCGATGGACGACTGTATTTGAGTGTTTCGCCAGTAAGTGACTTCCGTACCAACCCCGAACACTATGCTCACAAGCTATCGACTCTGCGGTCTCATTCTGTGTATACTCATTTACCTGTTCCTGTGGATAACGTACATAGGCCGCACGGTCAGGCGATTATCCGAACGGATTCGTGAACACCACCCTGCGTCGCTGAACACCGGAACGATCAAGTCACTCACCAGTGCAGTGGTTTCACACCTAGCTGAAACAAATCACACTATGGACGAGTCCGAGGCTTTCCGACCCCTGTATAAAGTTCGTCAGCGATTACTGAAGCAGATTCGCTGTCGGATGCTAGCTACAGCAGAAGCCATGGGCTTTCGTCTGCAGAAGCCCCCTCTGGGTGCCAAAAGCAATTTGTACAAGCGCTAAAGCTTCCCCGGCCCAACCCATCCCCGCCCCACACACACCCTTTCAGGGGTAATCTCGATGATCGGATGAGTGGACAAACAAATGTGATCATGGTGAGCCCGATTTCCGATGAAATCGTTTCTAGTAATCTGTGATTTTATTTTGTTGTATTTTCGCTAGACAATTTTATTCCCAAGTAGCGATATATATTCAGATTTATTGGCATGAATACGAATCTCTTAAAGCGAGCTTGTTCGCCACTCTGTTGTTCTGTTTGAAATGTGCTCTGTGGGACTATTTCGACAATAATGGTGAGTGTTCAAAGTAATTCTCTTTTTGTATGCTCAGTGCCAAAACGCAAACCGAGCCACCTGGTGCTGAAGTTTTATACACGGATAGTAGACTACTTAACTGGCAATGAGTTCATCCAAAGATCACAACGCACAACACAACTATGAACAAACGAAAAAAGCGTGAATCAGACGGTAAGTCGAGGTAAAAACATTTCCAGGGGAGCACATCGCGTGAGAATGAATTACAGAGAAGCGGCGGATCAGTTACTGATTCGTCTAGAAGTCTGATAAGATGTCATGTGGTGTTATACTGATTCCCAGTGTCCCTAATACCTAAAATCAATGAACTTCTCGAACGTAGGTGAAATCTGTCGATTGTATGTAAGCTGGGTCATTAACCGGATCCAGTTACACTCACCTTGCTCAATAGCAAACGATTAGCGTCCAAAACCAACGCGAAACAAGTTTTGTTCGGAATCTGTAGAGAACGGCGAACATGAGGGATTAGGAAAATCGGAGGCAATCAGTTACTGTAGTTCAGCAGGCAGTGCGATCAAATATATGCTAAACGTCAAATTCTCGAGTGGGACAGATGACAGAGTGATGTGAACACGAATCGAAAACATGTATTTTGGATGGATATCTTGGGAGTGATCTTTATGCTTTCTAGATTCACCCATACCAGTTGTTGTTGATCGGCAAAATTTACAACCACCAACGTTTTGCATGCCCGCGATTGTATTTAAAACATGGTACGTTAAACAGCAACTAGTAAAGTTTGCCTCAACACATTTTATTGAAGGATATTGGTGATGCCACAGCGTGCTCGAGTTAGAGCATAGAAAAACATCTCACCAGGTTTGGTCATTTACGGTCCGCTCAGTCATTTACGTTATTTTTGAGTCATTGATAGTTTCCATCGGATGAAAACACAACGCACATGGGGGGGGTGCAAGGAAGTTGGCTTCAGGAAGTGATGACAACTAGGAAAATGTTTCAGCAAGAGGAAGACAGAGAGAATAGAAGACAAGTTATCTTTATACTGGTTTCTGGAACTGTAATCAGTGAATCTGTGGCGAAAACAAGAAAAAATAACGTTGGATTTTGTTTTCATGGAATATATTTCCACGGAAAGTCTCATTTTGAACACTGATAATCTCAAGGGAACTATTCAGACAAGTGGAGGATGACAATTTGTCTTCCTGTTTTACCCAGGTTTTGTGCTTGTTTCCGAAGGTACCACCCAAGGGCGAACAACCCGAAATAGCCCAGTCCAACGATGTTCGCTCCAGGGCAGAACAGGATATCATTAGTTTTAATTGTATTCAAAGCCTTGAAACTCCTTACTGTTCTCTCAGTATAATCATTAGAAAATTTCTACTTCCTTTTGATTTACTGAATAAGCAAATGGAATTGCGGAAAACAAGGGTTGCACGAAGAAATACAGAGATGATGAACAGAGGTAGTAGCGACGGAATTGGAACTCAGCACCTCCAGACCGTTGATCAGATGACCTTGAGGATGGGAAAAAAAGCCGCGATAGTAACGTCTTGGATTATTGTCTATTAGTTTTGATCATGTCTCATCCATAACCATTCATATATACATATACATATATATATATATATATATATATATATATATGTATAT